AAAATTCAAAATTCATGTCATTTATGCTAGGTTTTACCATTTTAAATATTTGGGGAATCCCACATTAGAACATCTTGATTTTTCAGGCTAGGATTGTGTTAAAACTGGCTTTCAGTAGTAATATCTGTCCCATATTGTTTTGGGAAGGCTGTGCTCATATTTCAGACTTGGTGAGCAGACTGGTTGTTCCTACAAGTCAACCTTCAGCAAAGCATTTCTTATGAGGAGGCATGTAAGGAGGCTCTCATCCTTCCTCCAGCAAAAGTAACAAAGGAGCCGCCTCATTCATTTTTCTCACTTGCCTCCAGTGTGATAGAGAGCGAGTTGTTACAGGCAGATGGCCTGAGGTGTGTGCAAAAGGTTAGAAAAAGATGAAAAGATTGCTAGGAAATAAATATTTCCTTCATAAAATCAAATGTCACTTTGTTTCAGTTGTCTTTATTTTGTGCCCAATCTCTATCCTCAATTTGTACATGACTGGTTCTATTTGTAATTCTCTCAGATCAGCACCAAGAAAATTGATGGTGCTGTTTCAGAATTTGAAATCTATTTATCTCTGGATCACTTGGATGTCTGATAATTAGAGATTTAGAGTATTATTATAATGTTCATTATATTATTTCTAATCATATACTTGGGATCTTTCACAAATGGCTTTCAGGTCTCACAAGTCAAAAGACAAAATTCTTGTACTGCACCAAGAACAAAACAAGAGTGGAAAATCTCAGATCCCATCTAGGTATCATTAAGTCAAGGACCAGCTATTGGCTAATTTATATAGTGCTGTTGTCAGGCTCATCTTGCTGATTTTTCATTTCTGTTATTTTAGGAGATCTTTCATTTTGAAGGAAATGAAAGGGGGAGGGGTAGGGGAGAGGAGAACACGGACAAATACATTAGTTTCTTCATGCACTCTCATTGTTTTCCTCTCTCTGCATGGTTAGATAGTCACTATGTATACTGAAGAATTTTTTTCTTCCTGTGGAAAGCAATTTGGGAGAAATGCAAGTGAAACCCATCCCTGCTTCTTCTCATGTGCAAAACTTATACACTTTTACAATTATTAAGAAAAGATTGAAATACAGGGAAATTGTGTTGAGGTCTGCTGATAACCTGTTTCAATTTTTCCACTTTAATTAAACTGAGCACTTTTATTGAACATAAAGAAATTACAGAGTGTGATCATCACAGCAGGTGCAGCCTTTATTATTGTTTACATTAAAAATAATTTTCCTTATTAAAATGTTGGTTGTATGAACTTGACCTCTCAATGCATCTGATAAACTGGAAGCATTTAAATAAAGGAACTTGCCTTGATTGTATACTACTGCTCAAGGCTGAAATGTCACTTATGACTGACTGTATTTTTGCACAATCAATAAATTTGCAGTTCTTTTTCCTGCCTCTTGCTGGTTTCCATAGATACAGATGAGAAGTGACAGGTTCTTGTGGTCTGCATTGATCCTGTTCTGACCTTTTGCTCCTAGACTTCCTTATTGGAGGATATGCTTATGCTGCTGTTTGTACTTTGTCTTATTCCACCCCTTTCCTAACATGTTTTAATGGTGAAATCTTTCATTAGATTCTAAACGGGACAGAATTGTGCTTCCTTGATTTTGTTCATTTGCTGCAGTAATTTTACTAATTCATCTGACTTCTTTGACATGAGTATTTTGATATGTTCAGATAGTGAAAGGTGTCTCTTCTTCTAAATCTGGCCATCTCCATTAGCATGCACTTTGTTTTTGACAATATATTTAATTCTTCTAACATCATGATATGAATGCTAATTTATATAAGACTGTCGTACAATGGAATTCATAGTGGTGACTTAATTTCAAGATATAAAGTATAATCAAGTTCCTTAAAATTTATCTAAAAATTAAGAGAACAGTACTTAGGTGAGACTAAAGCCTGAGAGAGCTTCAAGGCTAAAGTAGGATTAGAACTCACAATCTCTAACAAATACCTTTACCACTAAACTAAATTGTGTGTCTTATCCATCCAGCTTCTCCTATTCCCAACAGTATTTCATTTGGTGGGTAGATGGGGGGGGGGGGGGGACGACTGACGGAGAAAAATGTCATAATTGTGGATAAAATTCCAAACTCTTAAATTTGGAAAATTAGGGTGATTGGAAAGTCTTCTCTGATAATTCTAAAAAAAAAGCCTTGCTAAGATCCAGACTGTTGTAAATTTCATCACTAATATCAGTATCTCTCTTTAAAAAAAAAAAAAGGTTCAATATACAAACATTTAACCATTTGAAAACTAGCTAAGTATATTTAGGAGGGGGGAGGGGAATTCCATTTGGGCTATATGTGTTCCTGTAGCAAAGCAATTATTCTTTCATTACCTCTTAATACTGTCACTATTCTGTATGGGTATCTGGGTTAACTCCTTAGCCAACTTGAAATATCCTAAAGCTGGTATATTACAAATCTCTTAAAATATCCCCCAATCAGTATTGCCAGCAATGCAGTAAGTGAATCAGCAGAACAGCTACAGCACTGAAAAGCATTACAAAGGAGGCTGGTGAGTTGTTTTCTATATGATCTTGTCCAAGATCTTTTGGAATTCAATAGTCTGGCTGAATAAGCTATTTTGGTTATATGTTGAAGATAAAGAACCAGCCTCAGAGTGTAGCTGTATTACAATGATTTCATAGCATGCAAATCAGTGGGTAAATAATAGATTCATTCTACAGGAGGAAGCTATAAGAAATTGCCCAGAAAGGGAGTCGTATCTTTGGTTGGACTGGAGTTTGAAAATTAGTTTTTCTAAAAAGCAAAATTAATTTTAAAAAATGTAAAGAACTTCAGTGTGCAAGTCTTCCCAAATTTAAAGTGTTTCATGCTAACTGAGAACTAATACTGCTTCCTTGTTATGCAACTGCTGTGCAAAAACAAAACCTAGAGATTTGTAAATAAGCAGCTTATTCTAAAAATGATTTCCCTTTGTGCCTAGGCCACATAAGGGTTGCTTTGGGCATCCTTCAAGGGAAACCATAAGGTAATATCTCCTCCACATCCTAGTTTCCATAGATGATACAACTCATATTTCAGGTTGGCTTTATTTAGCATTGGAGATGAGAGGTTTAATGCTCTCAGTTGCTGGCTACTGCAAACATTTCATTTATTTCAATTTTTAAAAGATTCATAGCAATAAAGTTGTAGATACTTTTTTTATGTTGTTTTGTATATAACATACACATATGAAAAATTAGTCTTGTTTTGGAAACCATGGTACCCTTGATAATGCTTGATAATGTGAAACACATTTTACTCATTTGTACTCTAATGATGCATCTTTGGTTCCAGCTTTAATGCTGGATTATGTATCGATCAATGTTGACAATATTGAGTTAGGTGAAACAATATTTGATTAGGTTCAAACACTGCACTGAATCAAAGATTATAAAATATGACATGATAAGCCAGAAGCAAACAACTCTTGCTAGGCTGAGAAATATCCTTAACATACTCAGACCAGGGGAGAATTAAATGCTATCCTTTCCAATGACACTAAAATTTAATTCAAGTTAAATATGCTTATATGATTAATCTTCAATAACTATATACAGTATTTAATTTTATCTTCTAATATGACATATTAATATCTACAATTGTTGACAGTTTTTAGAGGTTCTGAAGGCCACATCTAAGGCTTTGAAGGCATATGTGGCCTTCCATCCTTGGTTTTTGCACCTCAGCACCAACTCTAAACCATTCTGTACATCATAACACAATATATAAAGCTAATTAGTATATGGTAACTTTCTTTATTCAAATTCAATTTTTGCTTGTCCCTTTGATGAATTGATAGTCTTCTTAGAACTGACCCTTGATTTTGATGTATTTCTAGAAGAACAAGCTCCTCTTTCCTCTGACTTCTTAGTCCTGTAAATAAAAATAAATTCCAGGGCATTCAATAACATAAGAACAAATACATGGCAGAATGCCAGAAGTCAGAATGTGGTATTAGGGATGTGCAATTATATTAATAATAAATAGCATCTGCCTACAATAATTGGAGACAAGCAAAGACCAATAAGAAAGCATCTTATTGTAATCCAGTCCAATAGATTTGTGTCCAGGGCTGGTAAGGCATAGAAAAAAAATACAAAGAATATTAGCTGGTTGAATCTGCGCTTAAATTTCTGCTTGAAAGTTTAAGGTAAATATGTACAATAGGCATTCGGGACTCCATTCAACCTCATTAAAGCCTTGGCTTACTCTGATGCTGTTCAATTAAACTTAGATCCATCAGGTTTTATCCTGGCTTCATACTTTGTGCCTTGTTCCTTCCCACTTTTAGGATTGAAACCCTGATATACTCATGAAAATCTCTGAGCCATGTAGGCCCGGAAAAAAGTTCTACTCAACTGTCTTCTAGGTTGTGCTGGCTCACAACACTTGAGTCAACCCTACCTGGCAAAGGCTAAAGAACTGTATTTTCATGCATGTTTTTGCTTCTGAATAGCTACCCTGAGAGAGATGAGAATGAGAACGGTCCCCCTTTTCACTTGGACTCCCTATTCTCATCGTGGCTTTTGTGTTGTTTCACAAGCAGAAATGGTACAAAAAGAGACAGCAACTTTGGGAACAACTGAACCACAGGCCTGTCATACAAGGGCCTGGGGCTTGCACTATGCAGAACATGGAGCCTGTCCCTGGCTGGCACTCTGAGCTGTTTTCAGTAGCTTTGGGGGAGAAGCATAGAGTGGGCAGTGTCTGGAACTACAGCTTCTGCATTATTCACGAGGGGAATCCACAGAGAGGGGAGGGAGGAGGAGTAAACAAGAGAGTGGAGCAGCGTGGCGGCGTGTGCCCTCCCATTTGCTGTAGCTTGGTGGGCTTGAGATAATGAGCTTCTATGTAAGCCACAGAGGAGGAGAGCTGGCCCGGGAAGGGTAATTTTTTTGTAGCAGTTAGATGGCATCTATCTTTTGACCCTTGAAAAAAGGTCTGCTTAGTTTTCTCAGCTGTGGAAGGCCAGAGGTCTGCTTCCTTGGAAACCGTGAGAGACCGTTTTGTGCACCCAACTGAGCAATTTGGATGTTTCCTGGATTTTTGCAGCCATGACCAAAACTTCTCAGGCCTGGCATGAAGGACCTTCTCATTTCAGATAAAGGTGACTGAGAGATAATTGAACACCAGCCCTGGAAGGGGAGGGAGGGAGAAGGGAAAAATGTTTAAGTGTGAAAGGTGAAAAAGGTAGGTCTGCTTGCTTATTTAATACCGACAGAGGGATGGAATGGGCCAGAATAGTCATTATAAGCTACTAAAGTAGAGTCATGCAAGCGTATAACTGTTTGGTCAAAACTCTCTATGCCATAATCCTTTGTAAAATATAGAGCAATATAGAGTCAAGTCCTCTGTTTCTGCCGAAGAAAACAACAGCTCTGGGCTCTGCTTTTGTAACAACAGATTTAGTATTGCAAAGGACTGGCAGATCCTTTTTGTATCATATCCCATTTTACTTCCTGACTTCATTTGCAGTCTACTTTGGCACTTCAAGCAGCACCAATCTATCTCCCTCAAGTCCTTGTCTTTATCCCCCACCCCCATTGATTGAACGTCTCACAGTCCATGGAGGTTTCATATCCATCTATTTTAATTCCAGGCAATTTAAAGAGATGGGGATGAAAGACATTGGGCTTTTCTTGCCAGCTTATGGAAAACAAACAATTAACAAATGAACATGTTCTTGGGATGTTTTGATTCTCAACTCATGTCTTGAAAGGTGCCCAGGCTGATGATTGATACAGGATACTAATTGAAGAGATTTGAACTTTGGAATAGAAATGTTGGAAGCTCTCTTCTCTATTTATAGTAGAAAGATTGAGATGATTAGCGGTCTGTGTGTGTGTGTGTTTGTTTGTTTTTTAAAAATCTCCAGTAATGGGTTTTTCTCTCTAAAAAAGACCTTTGGGTTCCAAATTCTGTATCCTTCTTAAAATTCCTTACATAATCTATACTTTTGCTTGTTCAAACTTAAAGTAGCCTTTCTTCTCTAGCGTCTTTATACTCTGCTCATTTGTATTCACCAATTTTTAGAAATTGTTTACTTTTGATTGTATTTGTTTCCCCCTATTGTTATTAGCTGCTGTGAGTTTTTAAAAGAAAACTGGGTCAACTCAAATGAACCAGAATTTCTAAATGTGGAAATGTTTATTTCAAGAAAGAAGCTTCTAGGGTGGAACATTTTTTCCACTTCTATAAAGGAATTGGTTCATAAAATGAATTAGTAATGTAATGAGTGGAAAGGAGTCAATATTTTATTCAGTACATTGTCATTAAGAAGCAAACTTACATGATTTACTCTTAAAATTCAAAGACACAGTGGCTTACTTTGAGTACATTTAAAAACAAATTAAATTTGTATTAGTGAAGTATTGCTTGAAAATGTCGCATTTGTTTCTTATTTGTTTTAATAAGTCTTTTAAATCAAATTCTTTTATTGTTATATTAGTTTAGTTTAGTTTAGTTTAGTTTATTGTCATTGCACCTCGTATAACGAAATCAAACATCATCTTCAATGTGCATCATGACCATGAAAATAAACACAAACACACATCCTTCACACTCCACACATTGAACCGAAAACCCCCAAAACTGCACCAACACTGCACTGTACAGTAGAATTCAAAAGAGGTACTGTCCTGGGATAGAAGCTATTTTTCAGCCTATTTGTGCTTGTTTTTATTATTCTGTACCGTCTGCCAGATGGTAATAGTTCAAAAAAAGGGTTCCCAGGATGAGATGGATCTTTGAGAATGTTTTGAACTTTCTTAAGGCAGTGGGAGCTATAAAGCTCTTCCAAAGAGGGGAGAGGGCAACCAATGATCTTCTGGGCAATGACATTAACCCTCTGGAGTGCTTTCCTATCTGCCACTGTGCAATTGGCAAACATACAGAGATGCAGTAAGTTAAGATACTCTCTATGGTGCAGCGGTAGAAGGTCACCAGCAGTTTTTCATTCAGTTGTTGTTTTCTGAGAAGGCTCAGAATAAAATATATAAATAAATATATATAAATAATATATAAATATATATATAAATAAAAAGGTGAGATTTATATAGAATACAAGAAGAAATCAAAGAATTTTTAATAGATAGCTACATCAAAATTGTATGATTCAAAATATTTTTTAAAATCCACCTTATTCTGTGGGATCAAGTAAATGTTAAGATATAAAGTTGGGATGTTACACCTCTCTTTATGTCCACATAAGCCAAATTACATGTGTTCAGAACCTGTACTGTTTCTTAAATGAACTATGAAGTTAGGCTAGCTGGGATCTGCTGCAATATTAATGTAGGAATTTAAACAATAAATCACAGTAGGAGTGCCCTATTTATTTCCAAGTTTAAACTTATTTCTAATAAAACATAATACAGTGAGGTAGCTCACAATTGTTTCCCCAAGCTTCTTTAAATTAATCTCCAGTTTAATTGCTATATTGCGTTTCAGCATTTGATGGCATCAGTATGTATCTATACTATAATATACTTCATGGATTTGTTCAGTTGTTGAATTGTAATATCTCCTATAAATATATACAGATAATTAAAAGCCAAAATTTGTCATTTTATTTAAAGAGATGAGAACTTGAATATATGAAATTGTCAAATTATTTCAATACAAGCTTCAGAATTTTTTATTTTAAAATGAGAAGAAATCGAGTCCAAGTCTTCACCTGCAAACTAAAAACCTCTGAAAATTCACTGTTTCATGGTTGTGGCTGACATTTTAATTTCACTAGAGAAGAATAAAAGATAAGGGAAGGCAACAGCTGATGTGGTTTTATATTAAGGACTATGTTATTTCTAGAGTCAGAGAAAGGGTACTTTAAATTTCCCAGTTACCTGAGTGAGAACAAATTAATTTGCATGGTGGGAGATCATAAATAATTCAGTCCCATCAGGATTATACCATTTCAGAAAAAGAAGGGAGGGAAACTATGTTCATGTCTTCTCCCACCAAAGCTCTGCGAGAAAAAAATCTAGAGTATAAATTGATATGTTAAATAATAATAATTCCTGCTTAGTTTTTCAGTAAGGAAAATAGTAATTTTGACATGAAAATTCAACTGCATCATCTCTCAATTGCTTTATGGAATGGTAAAATCCCACTAAATTAACTTTCAGATATATTTGCTGCAGAAACCACAAACTTCATTAAATTGCATGAATTAAAATATATTTCTGGGTACTAGTAGTTTTGCTTAAAAGATATTTTTGGACAACAGTAGTTTTGGAGTACATATTTTATTATGATTACAGTGGAAAAGAAGCATGAACATACTTCAGTAAAAAGAAGGGTAAATAAATGAAAACATGCTTGTTTCCTTGCCAGTTTCACAAATGAACCATTCATGCGTAAATGGAGCAAGAAAGGAAATGGGATTTTTGGAAGGTGTTAATAAGATGTGCTGATTGTATCACTGGGATCAGAGGTGGTGTGTGTGCATTTCATAAATTAATAGGAAAAGAGCCTTGGTTGTTAATTACAATTCCAGCAATTTATTGCTCAAGTCTTACCCTATTAACTCTGCAGGGTGCAGAGAAAAGATCAGTCTTAGGGCTAAGGGATCTGTAACTGTTGGAGGAGACTTCCATTGCCCCCTTAGAACACTTTTGTAGTTTGAGTTAAAAGGAATATTTCTTTCAACTTCTTTAAATTTGTTTTCTCCATGAAATCTTCTTGTCTGGATTACTATAATATGGTCTGCATAGGGCTGTCCTTAAAAAACCTTTGGAAGCTTCAACTAGTGGAAACTGTAGCTGCCCAAGTAATAAATGGTGTCAGATGTTCAACACATGTAACAGCATTATTGCATGAACTGCATTGGTTGCCTGTGCATTTCTGAATGCAGTTCAAGGTGTTGGTGCCGTCTTTAAAGTCCTTCATGGCTTGGGATTGGGTTTATTCCCCCATCATTGTTAAGGATGACTCAACTGTTGACCTTTAGTAAAGGCCTTGAAGACCTGGCTTTGTACCCAAGTCTGGGGCCCCAAGCCTGGGGAGAACCCCATTTCCTGGCTATATTAACATATATGATGACATTTTTCTCAACTTTCATATATATTTAATTTTGTACTATATTGTAACTGTTTTTAATTCTTTTATGATTGTTTGCAACACAGAGTCACTTTTTTGAGATGGGTGGCGATAAAAACAATGAATAAATATATTGTTACTGTATAAGCATAGGCTTAATTAATTACACGACAACTTCTCAATAAGGCAAAACAGTGTCTAATGAGGAATGTTAGCATATGACAAATTGTATGTTCTGTATAGCAGTTTCTTTTCTTCAGGCTTATAATATAATTTACTACCCTTAATATTTATGAATGAGATCAAGCTCCATCTCTGTCTATACAGCCGATCAGGTACCATTGTATATTCATAAGCAAAGCAACAGTTGTTGTTAGTTTGGTCCCACCACATTTGGTAACACATAATCTTGGAAGCTGTAATAATGCATGTTGCAGATAGGAATGCAGTGGAGGAAGAAGGCGAGCAATGCATGTTAGAATGTTGAAAACAATGTTGAAAAATTGTGACACAAGCTCTGTCCCATTTGTGTGTCACTATGTGGAATGCAGTTATGAACAGGTGCATTTGTGCTGCAGCAATGCTGGTGATATTTTTTGTCATTTTGTTAAAGGCAGCAAGATCCTGTCAATATCCTTATTAATGAATCTGAGCAGATAAGATGAGAGAATCTGACATATCTCTAGAAAGGATATTTATTTTTCTTCTAGGCATGTGACTGGTTAATTGATCTTCTGTTGAAGTATACTAGACTCCATAGTAGTAACCGCTTATTTTCCTTAAAGCTATTTTATTTCTACAACAAGGTGTCATGATCTCTTAAGAATTCAGTACTAAATATCTAACACATAATGGGGGGGTTGGCATCTTCCCCCAACCTGAAATATACATTTATGAATTTTTGTACATACATTTATTAAATTTAAACAGGAAATGTTTATTTGTTTGGTTAAGTTACCACATGCCTTGGATCTATGAGTTGCCAAAGAGCCTTCAGAGTACATTCTTGAATTCATTATGGAGCATATTTTTCCTCCCAGGAGCAGGGAAATGGCTGCCTTCCAAATA